TTCACTTGGAGTGTCATGACATGGCGAAATATAACAAGAAGATGTCAAAGCCGAGATGTCAAACAACACAGCAGCCGTCGCCCTTCCGCCCGGGTGCCCATCTCGGTCGGCCACATGAAAGCAGTGGCTAACCACAATCGCCATGACCAGCTTCTCTGCAACGTCGATTGGCACATTGCACGAGATTGCATATGGATGTCTCCGCTCAAGGACGCTGTCAACGGCGCGGGCGATCTGTATCTGCCTTGAGTGACCGAGTTCTCAGGTGACCGCCTCGCGAATGACCGCCCTACGCCTCCCTCGTAGACCCTGCCGGAGCGTGCTCCCTCTCACCGGCATCAGGCCTCTTCGGCAATTCCCACCATGGCGCGTTATCCGTCCACATCGCGGACAGGCCGAGGGTAAATGGTAGGCACAAATAAACCAGCGTCCACAGGCCAGCCCTTTTCAGCTTGACATGGGCTACGAGACAGGGGAAATATTCAGTAGGCGCCTCGCATGAACACACGAGGCAAGACACGACGTTACCGTATTTTCCATAGTACTTGATCCAATCGGACGTCTTTGGCTTAGCCATGAGTGGATGCGCGAAGAAAAGAGCAAGCGGCTGTCTATGACAAAATGTTGGGGTGGAGATGGATGATCAAAGATGAGCTTGTAATGTGGGCGCGGCAAGTTTTGTTGGAGAAGAGAAGGGTTCAACTGAACAGCGCACCCAGAGGGACGTCAGAGCCATGGTGCACCAGGGGGGGGGGGACGTCATAAATCTGCGTGTAGGATAATGTGACATGTAGATTTACCAACCACCGGCCGGCTACCTGCTATCATACCTAGGTACGCCAAGAGACTGACGCGTGCGGTTAACAGGAACAAAGGCGTGTCAGCTGACGTCATAACGTAAATGCATCAGACTGGCACTCCAAGATGTGCGCTGGAGTTCCTGTCAATTAGATGTGTCTTAACAGCATTGAAACATGACGACAAAAAGGTCTCCCGGAATGTATGTCCAGGAAAAGCAAAAAGATTAACGCAGTGCGTGAACTGGGAATCGAACCCAGGGCTCCCCGATGGCAACGGAGAATTTTACCACTAAACCATTCACGCTTGATAGAAAAACTCTTTTTGACTATGCTCTATAGCCTTGATACTCAAGCCCCACATTTTAGGCACCACTCTCCTCGGTGCCTGCATCTATACATGCAAGTATTCTGCAGCGGACAGTGAACGGGCTCCATTGCACAAAGTCGCTCGCTTCATCTTCAATGGCTTTCTCGTACCGTGGCACGTTCCGGATGGTCCTGTACCTAGCACCGGAGCCGGTGGCATTGAAGCAGAGCTACAACGCCGTCATTCATCATTTCCAGTGAGGTAGTTGGTGAGGGTCAAGGGGAGGAAGGATCAGGACGGCCATGGCGGGGTGTCATTGCCCCCTGCCAGTGCCGTGGTGGGACCCGAGCTCGAGGTGGGGAAAGAGCTTCGACCTGTGAATGACCAACGACCGACTGACTTGGTTGCAACAACCTTTGCTTGCAACAACCTTTGCCTTCACCAACCATCCATTTCCCGCTTCGTGCCTATTTGGCGTCGTCATTGCCTTTTCAGACCGCGTCCCTTGTCTGTGACTTCGCATCATAGCAGAAGAGAGAGCAACTCGACAAGCCGAATCACTCAGCACGACATCGCCAACCCCCGCGACTGCTCTCTCCGCATAGCACGCCGCCTTGATCAATCGCCGGCCTTGCCTCACGATGCCTGACCTCAACTCGGTACCCGCGTCGCCGCACGCGCTGACGAGCTCCCGAAGACCGTCATCAAATCAGTTACCCGCTCACACCCTAGACATTCTCCCCTCGAACCAGACAACCGTCAACCAGCCTCGCCGCGCTTCCAATGCCTCGCTCCCATCACCGCACCTTCCCCCAGGCCAACCACAACCGACAACGGCCAATGTTTCAGCTCCGTCCGACATTGGTGTCGTGTCGGGACCTGGACCCATGCGTCACCCGCGGCCGTTGACAGCCGCTGATCTGCACATCCAGCTGGAAAAAGAGCAAGAGGCCGTTGTACGCCCCACCGTCCCCCAGACCATGTCTGTGGTCACGAGCATCATGCTGCTAACCATCATGCTCCCAGGTCAATCGCTTGACGCGCGAACTGCAGCTCCTCCGGGCCGCCCATAATGCCTCGACCGTCTCGAACGCGTCGTCAACGTCCACAGGCAACACCGCCACCGAACAACCCACACCCCCCGTCGACGCGGGCCTCCTCTCCGGCGCCGGCTTTTCGACGGCCGGCCGCCGCCACAACCGAACCTCGTCAAGCACGAGCGCCCGCAGCGTCATGGCAACCATGGGCTCCGCCAACGCCTCGACAATCTCGATTCCCATACGGTCGGCCCCCGGTGCCTCGCTCTCGCGCCAGAACAGCTCTGCCTCGCACCCAAGCCTCGCCGGTACCTCGCCGGCGGCAGCCGATCTCATCGCAGGCCCGGGGTACTTTCCCTCCTCGCAGCGCGTCCCGCCGCAGGTCGCCACGAGCGCAGGCACCCTCGCGACCCCTGCTGGCCAGGAGCAGCAGCAGCAGCAGCCGCTGGTCCCCGAGCCACGTCCCCGGCACCGTGCGCTACGAAGAGACGATGCTGCACCGCGAGCAGCTCGAGACGGCGCTGCAGGAGAACGAAGCGCTGAGACGCCGCATCCGCGAGCTCGAGCGGCTGGTGCGCGAGCGCCGCCGCAGCGAGAGCGTCAGTACCACGGGGGGCACCACGAGCGCGGGCCCCGCGCCGCAGAGGCCCGGCGGCGACAGGGAGCGGACAATGACGGCTTGCGCCGATGGCCGCGCAGAGCTTCGCCGGGAGCCGGGGGCCCCCGGCGGCCCCGAGGGGGGAAGTCCAGGGGGGGGGAAAAGCCTTCCAAATGGGGGGGTGGCTCAGGGCATTTGGGGGGGGGGGGCCCCCCC